ATATATATATATATATAGCGGTCTTATACTGACGCCCTTTCCCAATAATTTATTTTCCAAGCAGAAAACCATGCAAGCACTACGGCAATGAAAATAAAGAAAGATAAAGCTTAAGAAGTTGCCTTTTTTTTTTCCCCCCTCAATGATAATGAAGAAAACACACAATTAATAATTGGTATTTAAAATCCAAACAATAGAGGAAGAAATATCCCTTAATACTGCAGTAATTGAATACCTAATCTGGAAATTGGGAATTATTCTCTTATTCAACCCCGTGACATTGAATATTCTTCACACCAACTCACGCACCCACGTGAAAGCCAAATAAATAAATAAATAAATAAATAAAAAGTTATATTCCACATAAATCAGAAATAGTTTACATGAGACATTTTTTGGAGTGAAATAATCTTTTCTTCTTTATTTTTTTACTATAGTAATAGCAATAATAATACGACCTTTATCTGATGGATATAGCAAACCAAATCAATAGCATGTGTGGACATCTGTCTCCCACAGTTTCCCTTCCGCACCGGGACTCTCTCGCCACTTTCTGTGAGTCAACTCGTCCAATAGATGAAGATGACGTTTTCAGAATTATTGTGTATTTTTATGAGAGAAAATATTATAATAAATTATGAATTATGATCTAAATTATGACACGAATTCTTACTCCAAACACACTCAAAATTGCCCTAGGACCTTGTTTTCTTACTTATATATCAAGTTAAGAAATGATATCATTATGTTCGTATTTACTATTTAACATGTAAATTCTACTATTATAACATATTTTTATTTAAATAAAAAAATATGATAATAAAATTTACGTATCAAATAATAAATCTAAAAAAATAATAAAGAGAGTAACGAAAAAGTTACGCTAACATTTCTCATCAAGTTAATTTAAGATTGTTGTCTAGCTTTTGAAAGTGATTATGATATAGTTTCAATTAGAATTGTTGTATGATTAATCTAGCTTTGATTAAGTTATTTCATAATATGCTGTAAAAGAGAATTATAGAAGCAATTTGTTTGGTTACAAAATCTAGAAGCTTACACAATTACTTTACTGTAATGTATTTGTTTTTAAAATTTTGAATTGTCAAAGTACTGTCAAAATAAATATTCACAAAACTAATAAAATCTGATACAAAATTAATAGATTGATACAACATTAAGAATGTTTTTCTTTTTTTTCCTATCGTTAGTCCCTAAAATTTTATCAATCTCAATATAATGATTTAAAGCGACTCGTCAAAAATCTATACGACGATAAATCTATCATGATTGGTTTAAAATTAGGCCCATATTTGAGTGGAATTAGACCCTTTTTTTTTTTTTTTTAGAATAATTTTTAGACCCTTTTCCTTTTATAGGTGAACCCCACCGTTCACTTCGCTGATTCGAGTTTGTAATTCGAGTTGAGATGTAATTTTATGTGAAAACTTTTTACTGTAACAAAAAAGTTAGATGTGACTGTTTCTGAGAGCTTTTTACTGTAGCAAAACTCGAATTCTAAACTCGAATCGGCGAAATGAACGGGATAATGACATAAATATTCTTCTATTTTTACAAGTACAAGTGGTTGGAAAATAAAAAGAGGGAGAGAGGAGGAAGAAGGAGACCTTACCTAAAAAATACGTTTTTAATTTTAAATCATGATTCATAATTTTTTACAGTATTTTTTAAAAAAAAAATACACATAAAATAAAAATAATTTTACATAAAATAAAAATAATTTTAAATTTATGAATTATGGGAATCGGAAGGGCAAGGGTATTTTCGTAGTAACAAGAGAAGAACAGGGGCTTTCTCGTCCTTTTACTCATCTGTCGTGGAGCTCGGCCTTGTGGCCAAATATTAGAGAGAGAGAGAGGGAGAAGTAAAGAAAGACTATCGATGAGAAGACAACAATGCAAGGACAGGCCACACCGAAACTGTGAGATAAAATTCTAGAGAGAGAGTGAATGAGTGATTGCTGAGATTTCTCTCTCTATATTTGTGCTTTCTTTTCTTCTTCTTCTTCTTCTTCTGCTTCTCTCTCTAACCAGAGAAAAAGCCAGAAGAAGCTCATTTCCGCAAAGCAATGCCTGCAATTCCCAAACCCCAATGCCTCTTCTTCTTCTTCTTCCTCGTCGTCTCACGGACTCTGACATTTCTTCTCATGCATTGAGTAAAACTATACTCATTTCCCACTCAAAATTTTGAGCCCAAAAAACAAAAAAAAAACAAAAAAAACAAAACAAAACCATCATTCGTACTTGAAGACCTCCGGTGAGGCTCTCATTTTCATTTTTTTTTTTTGCTTGTAGTCTTAGCCGGTTATTTTTTTGCATTGTGATTTCTGCAATTTGAATGATTTTTTTTAATCATTTTTCTTTGTAATTTTCATTTTCCTTCGGCGAAGAACTTCAGGTCTTGTTCTAAGTCTGCGAAACGAAGAATTTCCTTTTTCATCGAAGTGAATTTATATTTAGGTGTGTAAATTTACCGTTTCTTATTGCTCTTGAAAAGATAAAGCAAACAATGCATTTGCTTTTGTTGACTGATTTCTTTTTTCGCTTTTTTTTTTTTTTTTTTCCTTCTTCTTTTCTTTCGCCGTTGAAAAGTTTCTAGTCAAGAAGCGTAAAGGAGATTCTTGGAGATTTTCCTTTATCTGATTTTTTTTTTCCCCACTGCAGTTGAAATGCACTTCGAAGTTGACGAGATCTTGAATGTTCGTATCAGTTTCTGGAGAAATCCGACGGCCAAAATCTTGATCCGAGCATAAAACCGCCAAAAATTTCTGTTTTCGAGTGATTGAATTGTGATAGAGAAACTCCATTCGGCGAAATCACGAGAAAATACCAAATTTTGGATTGAATTTGTGAGTGATCAGTGACCGAGGATCCGAACTGAAAAGAATTTCTGGATTTCGTCAAAAATTTACGATGAATTCCAGCTTTCAGATTTGAGAGAGACAAAACTAACCGGGAAAAGAAGAAATGCAGTAGTTTTCGGACTTGAATAGTCGGGTTGATAAACAACGAAGGTGAGAGATTTCTCCGCATTGAGAGGGCGAAAATGGCGTCTCAGTGGGAGCATTTTGGGGAAATCGCGAACATCGCGCAGCTGGCGGGGCTGGACGCCATCCGGCTGATCGCGCTGATCGTGAAGGCGGCGAGCACGGCCCGGATGCACAAGAAGAACTGCAGGCAGTTCTCGCAGCATCTGAAGCTGATCGGGAACTTGCTGGAGCAGCTGAAGATCTCGGAGCTCAAGAGGTATCCGGAGACGCGGGAGCCTCTTGAGCAGCTCGAGGATGCTCTGAGAAGGTCGTATGTTCTCGTCAATAGCTGCCAGGACCGGAGCTACCTTTACTTGCTTGCCATGGGTTGGAACATCGTGTACCAATTCAGGAAGGCTCAGAACGAAATCGATAGATATCTCAAGCTCGTCCCTCTCATCACCCTCGTTGACAATGCTCGAGTCAGGGTATTGGTTTTGATTCTTGTCTTTTTGTTTTTGTCGATTTTTTGGTGAGCTCTTCGATTGTTTTCTCTGTTTTTTTTTTTTTTTGTTAAATTATTTGATCTGTGTCAGTGGCGAGGAAATTTTGATTTTCTTGGAATTATGGTTTTTTTTATAATGATTTTTCTGTATTATTAGCATTTTGCAAATGGTCGTCTTCAAAACCCACAAATGAAAATTTTTTCTTCGCCCCGCTCCCCCCCCCAAAAAAAAAAATAAGTCTTGGATGATAAAAATTAAGGATAAAAACTTTGGTGAATTACACTATCCTTGCTTGGTATTGATTTGTTTTTTTTATGTTTTTGTTGTTTAATTTTTTGATACGTATTAGATTGTTAGTCACAAGAAAAATTGGATCTCGCTTGGTATCTGGGTTTTGTATGATTTTGCTGTATATCAGCTTGTGTCGTAGGATCAAAAAGAAAAATGAAACCAAGAAAAAAAAAAAACGCACAGCTGAAAAATTGCCGTGCAAGATATAATTTGGATTAAAGGTTAAAATTTCATGCGTGGAATTACGATTTTCCTTCTTGCTGGAAGTCAAATCTACTCAATCGTTTAGTTGGGGTGATGAAGACAGTCACTTTGAAATGCTGGACCTCTAATCTACTCAAGGCTATATATATATAGTTAGGGTGCGAAATATAGAACTGATAAGGATGTTTCATTTGACTTGATGGATTTACATATTTAGGGCCTTATGTAGAAAGATTTCAAGTGTTCTGGTGTAGGTTGTGCAAACTTGCTATTATCTTTAATTTGTCCTTTTGTTAATTGGGCACTAGACTTTAATCTGTTGCTTCTGGCATATTGGAATCATTGATTTGGACATTAAAATATAGTTTTGAGATACTAGTGTGCGGGAAATATAGGAGATAGTTGTGGTGATGATTTATGTGGAGCTGAATGTAGTCGGCTGCATCATGACTCTTATACTGAGTGATAAGTTTTATCGGGCAAACTTATTGAAAAAAGAAAAAAAACAGATTCTCATTTTTCTGAGGAAATGTGATCTTTTCTTTTTTATATTTGAATAGTAATCTGATTTAAGGAATGAACCTTAATGCAAAAGATAGACACAATGCCACTTTAATTTTTAACAAATTGTTGTTTATTTATGTTTCAGTTATGCGGTTACATTGATAACCAAGTGCGGCTCAATCTACTGTCCCGTTGCTTAAACTGATCATAATTATATGATTAATAATTTATGTCCTGTGTATTTTTATTCTCTTAGTTGTCTCTGTTTGGAAAACCGAAAATGAAAGTTTAACTTGATTTAAGTTTCATTCTCTCATATTCGCAGGAGAGACTTGAATACATTGAGAGAGATCAATGTGAGTACACATTGGATGATGAGGATAGAAAGATTCAGGATGTAATTCTGCAACCCGAACCCTTGAAAAGTGGTGCTTCAGTGCTGAAGAAGACTCTCTCGTGCTCCTACCCAAACTTACCTTTTAAAGAAGCACTCAAAAAGGAAAATGAAAAGCTTCAACTAGAACTACAAAGGTCACAAGCTAATTACGATGTGAATCAATGCGAAGTTATTCAGCGTTTGATAGATGTCACGGAAACTGTCGCTGAGAATACTGTTCCAGACAAGAGTTCACCTGAAAAAAGTCACAAGAAAATGGAGCGGAACTATTCAGATGACAATAGTGAAAAAGAAGATTCATCCGATGAAAAATATAGTAAGAGAGGTGATAGTCGTGTAACTTCCAGGTAAGTATTTTGTATATTTTACTACACCATACAGCCATAATAGTGCAATTGCATATCTGAGTATGGGTGTGTAATATCATATCTATATGCAGAAACACTTCTTCAGTTTCATCTGGGCATGATCTGCTGTCAACTAGATGCTCACGTCGCCATGAAGAATGGAGTAATGATCTACTTGGATGTTGTTCAGAACCTTCTTTGTGTATGTTCCTTGCTTGCTTTTTATTAAATACTCAGAATCAACTCCAAATAAATGGCCAATTCCCTCTATTTGGTTCTTTAATATGTGGATGTCGATGTTATTTCTACATAGGCAGTTTTACTCTCTTCTCATCATCTTTTAGAAAGGTCTCTATTTTTGTCTCATATCAGGCCAGCAAACTCTCTTGTTCCGCTTAAACTCTGCTTCTGTCCTAAAGTTTGTCACATGCTTTGCAGGTATAAAGACATTCTTTTACCCTTGCGGTACTTTTTCAAAGATTGCTACGGTAGCAAAAAACAGGCACATGTGTAAGTGCTACTATCACTCTTGGTAAACACTACTCGAATCAGTTTTCTTTTAAGTTTTAGTTAACATGATGTTTGGTGCTCAATTCAATCTCAGTATGCCTGATGGCGATACTGTAACATTGTGATTCTGTACATGGCTCTAGTATTGTTGAAGCTTACATAGAAAACGTTTTCTTTCTTTGCTGATCAGCTCCGGCAGAAGCTTGTAACGAGTTGATGGCGTATTCATTAATTTTGTCTTGCTGTTGCTATACCTGTTGCATTAGAAGGAAGCTCCGCAAGACGTTGAATATCACGGTAGATTTCATCTCGCCCCCTGCATAGTTTAGGCATGAAGCGATTTTTTTATTTGCTTGTTAAGTTAGTATAAATTACACTACATTATCCGTAAATACTAGTGCTTCTTCATTTCTAGTCCCGATATGTTTGGAAGTTAAACCGAGCCTCATGGTCCATTCTCTTCTCTTTTGGCAGGGAGGTTTCATCGACGATTTCCTTTCACATTTCATGTGTTGCTGCTGTGCTCTTGTCCAAGAATGGCGGGAAGTTGAGATCCGCGGTGTTTACGGTATCTACTCATACTTTAACCTTAGATACAAATATGGTTTGCAGTTTCTAATACCAGTCGAGGTATCTGGTATAACTATATCCAATATGCAGGTCCTGAGAAGACAAAAACAAGCCCACCACCATCACAATACATGGAATCTTAAGTGAAGGATTTGAAGGCACTGTTCAAATATTGTGAGATACATATATATAGGTAATGGCCAGTTGCCACTGTTATTATGTGAAAAACTTGTAATCTGATTTCTACTTTCATCAATTCTCTCCCTCATGTGTAAAGTAGCCTTGTTAAAGTTTTTAGATTCAAAACATGCTGTATCATAGACTTACTTTTAAAATGATATGGTGTTGCTTGTGTTATTGTAGAAGAATTAAGCGAATATCACACTCAAAACTATGTCAATATAACACACTTTTAATAGATTTTGACGAAGAATTGACGTTTAAAAATTGTGTCCTGCCAAGTATTTTTCATACCATACGAAATAATTCTCCTTTAGGATAGGTCCGTCAAACTTACATCAATAAACAAATATTATAATGATGAGGAAATCTCACTATTTCTTGAAGGAAAAGAGATTCGCCTATTCATTAAGCAACTAACCCACGACAAATAGTTGAATTCTTGATTTATTTTCCTTTTAAATATGTGTTTTCTTGATCCTTAAACTTAAAGGTAGTTGGAACCCGTAAGAATATTTGCTTTTATTCTATATATATGCCCGTGTATCATGGTCTTTATTCGATTTGCCTGATTTTGCTATGTTATGCAAATATTAATAGTTTCTCCCCTTTTTCCTTGATATGTCCTTTTTTTTTTTTTTTTTTTTTTTAAGTGAGTGGCATTGTTTGAGCAGTTATTCTCTAAAAATTTTCACCAAACTGCACCAATATTATTGATGGGGCATGGGGCGAGGTGTCTTATGCAATTAAGGTCTTAAACCTTGACAAATTTAGACCAAACAAATCACTTAACACGTCGTGTAAAATATATATATATATATAAATAGTCATCATATGTAAGAACAGAATCATGTGTAGAGGTTGCACTTATAACCATGCGGTAAACATCACCTTATTTCTAGAGTGTTAAAGTTCAATTCCCCTCGAAAGATGAAGTCATAAAAATGCTTACTTTTATGGTAGGAGTTGTCATTTTAAACTATCAGTGGGAACAACTATTGGATTCGTTTTTAACAATATGATTTGTCGAATGAGCAACTCATTCTATGTTGCACCATAAATATTTAAATTTAATGTTGATATTTACAAATCAAACCGTTAAAAAATTAATTTAATAATTAACACAAGAGTTCTTATGGTAGATTAAAATAACAGTTTTTCTGGTAGGTTTTGAAAAGTAACTACTAAAAATTTATTCTCTTCAGCCATAAAATTTGCATCAAAATTGTTAGTCATACGTTTTAATTTGATATAATTTTAACCAGATTTAACGGTTAAAAACTAACCCTCTTTTTTAGTGGAGAAATTACCTACCCTAATGAACAACACTATCCACTTTTTTTTTTAAAAAAAAGTAACAAGAAAATAAAATCACACGTGCCAGAATTTTGTTAATATTGTGTCATTCATATTAATTGCTATAATCATTTCAACATTAATTAATTAAATGGTGGTTCTATTCACACTTCTTTTTTACTCTTTACATCCCCTTCAAAATAAACACCTCAAATAATTTTAAAAGAACTAATTTTATTGTTTTACACACCTTTATCATTTCAAGATTGCCCTTAATTATTTTTGTAAAGTAATTAATTTTTGTCCACTTCAATTTTCTTTTTACATCCACCATTTCATTTTAGTTTGTTATTTAAATAGTATTATTTCACTATCCCTTCATATCTTTTTTTGTTCTTTTTTGTTGAAATTTTAGGTGTGAAGCCTTTTAAAAAAAAAACAAATAGAAGATGAAACGGAAAAAATAATAATCCAACTTTATAAAAAAATGAAATAAAAACAAAATAAAATGATTAGTCTTTAAAAATATATATATAGTTAAAAAAATCCAAAAATTTATTTGCTTGAAGTTTAAAAAATACAAACTTGAAATAAAAAAGACAAAATAAAAATTGCCATATAACTAATAGCAAAGAAAATGTAACATTACATCAATACAACTTATTCAAAAAGTCATTGAAAGGTAAAAATAGAGGTTTTTTAAAAATTTAAAAATTGTAATAGTTTATAATTTAAGATATAACATGTAAGGCGTGTGAAGAGAAATAAAAATTATATAATTAATTTTTTTAATTAAATTTAATTACAAATTAAATGTGCCATAATAATCTTTTTTTGTCTTTTTGTCATAAAAAATTTAAAATAAGTGTATGAAGAGTAAAAATTTAAATCCGCAAAGTGAAAAATGCCTAAATTAGTTTTATTTACAAGATTTTATGAACCAACAAGGTCCTTAAATTACCCGGTGGGTCCTATGGGAAGAGCCTCCTATTTAGTGCTGAAATTTTAGACCGGCCGCCCGCGACCGCTTAAAAAAACTAACCCACTCGCCCGAGCCCAAAATTTGCCTTGGACATACCGCGGGCATTGTCTTAGCTGCCCGACCCACCCAAAAAAGCCCAAAAATTAAATATATTTATAATATATCAAAAATAGTAGAAAATATCCAATGTGAAAAGCTTAAGGAAGTATATAGGCTAATTTTTAGTTATATAAATTAATAGACCATAACTTATCAAGTTATGGTTCATAACCAGATAAGTTATGGACAAACTTATCAAGTTATAATTCATAGTCAGACAAATTATAGACAAAAACCGTGATTTATGGACAATAACTTGTCAAGTTATGATTCATAATCAGACAAATTATAGACAAAAACCGTGATTTATGGACAATAACTTGTCAAGTTATGATTCATAATCAGACAAATTATGAACGAAAATAATAATTTAACCTATTTATTAACTTATGTAAAATATTGGCTTATTAATTTTAATTCATCTCATGGCCTATTTTCCTCATTTTCCCTTTATATATTTATACAAAGCAGTTTCAAACAAATGAATGAATGACACATTCACAATCACAATCACGAATCAACAAACATAATCGAGGTCTCTCACTGCTGAAAACCAAAATGATGAATTAAATTGACAAAATGGAACACAAACTTCAGAAAGATGGCAGAAAAGAAGAGGGCTCACCGGTGCCGGGAGATCGCTTGGCGCGCTTAATCTTTTGAAGTTGAACCTACGTTTCCATGAAAGCCTGCATCCTTTGGAACTCCAAATCCTTGGTGAATTGCATCCTCTGCTTCTCGAACTCCACCATCTGCCTCTGCTTCGTTGCCTCCACTTTTTGATATATCTCTCCGAACCTCTCTATCGTCTTCGCCAATTTCCTGTACATCGACTCTCTCTCCCTCTCCTCCCTTCCCCAGCTCTTCATGCTCGACCGAGACCCTGATCGGTCAGATTCCTCATCCTCCGCAAGAGCCGCCACTGCTGTTGCTGCAAACGCGGGCAAGCAATATGGCGAGCTTCTGACAATGGACTTGCAACGGTGGCAGGCTTCTTTTTTTTTTGGTTGATTTTTGGGTTGTTAGAGCCCGAGCCCGGCCTGAAACTTAGACGGACAGACATAGAGTCTTGCCCGCCGAACTTAAAAATTTTCAGGGTTCGGCCAGGCCTCCCGGCCGTAGTTCCAGCACTACTCTTGTTACCCTCCGGATTTCGATCGTTTTCCTCTTATTAAATTTCCCCACGCAAAGCCTCTGAAATCCATTTCCACAAGAAATCAGTACACCAGATCAGAGACTCTCAAATTATAAATAAAATAATGTTTTACAGATTGGGTCTTGAACTTTTAATTTTAGGAAGTTTCCCACCTATATTGTAAAAATGTTGCAATATGCCCATTTATCAAATTTGCTTTGATTTTTTATCAAAGGGATTAAGAGTTAGGGAATTGAAAATTTTGTATTACATTTTAAATTAAGATGAAATATTTCATCAAACAAGCCTTTCGTCACCAATCTAATAAAATCAGCGTCAGCATAAGAGATATTGTAGCAATTTTACATATTGGGAGAATAGTTAAAAAAATAGAAATTATGGGGGTAAATATTGAAACCCTATAAACTCAGAGATAAATGTACAAAATACTCGATAAAAAATAATTAAAAAAGCCTATAAAAACCCAACCCACAGAATAGAGATTCACTCTTTTAGAGCACAGAAAAGTTAGAGAGAGAGAGAGGGGCAAAGACCAAGCGGTGTCGTTTCCTTCGTAGTTGTGAACAAAAGCTTCTCGTTTTCTAGGATGTCGACGTCGTCGTCAAAGAAGATCGTGCTTCGGAGTTCGGACGGCGAGTCTTTCGAGGTGGAGGAGGCGGTGGCGCTGCAGTCGCAGACGATAAAGCACATGGTGGAGGACGTCTCCGACGACAGCGCCATCCCCTTGCCCAACGTCACCAGCAGAATCCTCTCCAAGGTTATCGAGTACTGCAACCGCCACTCCGATGCCTCCTCCTCCGCCTCCGCCTCCGCCTCCGCCGGCGCCTCTGACGACAATGATCTCAAGTCCTGGGACGCCGAGTTCGTCAAGGTTGACCAGGCCACTCTCTTCGACCTCATTCTGGTACTCTCTCTCTAGAATTTATTTATTTTTTCGAATTTTGATAGTTAGGGTTTGTAGACGATGTTGCGTATGACGGGGTTTGTGCTTCTCAATCGGGAATAGAAATCGAATCGTCGTTAATCTTGTTATTTTTTCAGTTTTTTCAGGCTAGGGTTTGGAAATTTGGGGATTTTTACTAATGTTTAGGGATTTAGGGTTTCGGTGATGATATTCAAAACCTACCTCTTATTTTAGGTTTCCTTTTTTTAATCTTTGTGGGTTTGTTTGTTGTTTCCCTATTATTTTTGGCTTTCGTGACAATTATCAAATCCCTCAAGCGAGGATAAAAAAATCAAAATAAAAGAAAATTACACAAAGACTACAAAAGGAACCACCCTTGAGTTAACTGGTTAATCTATTCCATGTTTTATCCTTCTCATCAAAATACCATTTTATGTAGATATGGTATGCGTCAGTGCTTCTACTATGGTCAAAACTAGAGATTTTATTGTTGTGTAGGGTTTTCCCTTTGCCCATTTGTTTATGGCCTGTTTGGTTTTAAGGGCAATTTGGGGTTGCTTGACGTGCTTTTAAAATAATTGTTGTGTTTTTAATAGAAGCACTATTTTTATTTAAAATAAAAGCAGAAGTAGAATATAAAAGCCATACATTTCAACTTCTCAAAATTTTGTACACCTTTACTAAACACTATAATTGCATCGTTTATTGTGTAACAGTGCTTTTGTGCACCTTTACCAAACTTATAGTTGCATTCTTATTGTGTAAAGTGTTTTTGAGAGTTTTAAAAGTAATTCCAAACACACCTTAACTCAATGTTTTGATTCTGGATTCAAATTTTGAGAGAGAGCCCATTAACGGGAATTCTTTTTTTTTGAAATTTTTCGTGAGAGAAAAGTACGGTAGAAAATTATGGTTTTAAATGTGTGAACTAAATAGACTTTTAATTGTGCTTTATGTAATTTACATTCTGTTCATTTACTTGTTCACAAGGCTGCAAACTACTTGAACATCAAGAACCTGCTGGACTTGACATGTCAGACCGTGGCAGACATGATCAAGGGAAAGACCCCAGAAGAGATCAGGAGTACCTTCAATATCAAGAATGATTTTACTCCCGAGGAAGAGGAGGAGGTTCGGCGTGAAAACCAGTGGGCTTTTGAGTGATTTGCGGTTGGTTTTTTGAGTTTAATGGATGGGAACGACTTGGTGGATCAATGTGGGCTTTTCAAAAACAAAACAAAAAAGGGATCATATGGTGCAAGTTTAGTGTTGGTTTTACTCTAGGCGTAGTTGTTCATCTTTATATAGTGTTTTTGGCTGTGGAGCTTAGCTTTACTCGCTTTTGGGCTCCTCAAATTGTAAAGAATTGCCGGATATTTTGATCAGGGTTGGCAGTGTTTTATGCTCTTTATCTAATTAATATGACAATGGTGTTCCATATTTTCGGAAAGCTTTAATGTGTGTTTTGTCATCGTTTTTCAAGTATAGCCTTATGTTCTGCTGCTTTTCTTTTTTGCATTTGATGCCCTACCAATTGAATTAAGATGGTGCGTTGGCTAATAAAACCGTATTCTTTTTTGCTAATAAAACTGTACTAGTTCTTTATATAGTGATCTCATGAAGTTGGGATGGGTCCCCAGTATTTGCACTTTACAAATTAATCTTTCCCATTTTACCATAACGCATAATTTTTTCTTCTCTTTTTCAGATTGAATAGTGAATACAACAAATTGTATTGTCTAAATTGTTGTCTAAACGGTCAAGACGTGCATTTGAGTGGCAGGCTTGGAAGTTGAATACGCTGAAAATGCGTAGGCAATAAAAATAAAACCTTCCTTGGTGTTCAATAGGAAGAGACTGTAGATTAGAGTGAATGTGAATCGCAGAACTCTGGTTTTTCATATGCCAGAAGAAAAGACAATTAAAAATGGGTTTGTTTTATGGTACCTGGATATAATTCATGGCACAAATATGTTCTCAATACGTACGATCCGAGGAAGTCCTGACCGGGTGAGTGACACGTAGGGGGCGTTTGATATGTAATAATTTTAAGGATGGAAATGAAAATTTACAATATTATCATGTTTGGTACAAGAATTATAATATTTAGATTCTCAGGAAAGTGATTATCATGGGATTCACTTTCCCTCATTTTAAGATAATCTGAATACCACCCAATATGATGTTATTTAAATTCTCAGGAATCTCAAAATCATGTGAATCTTATTATAATAATAATAATAATAATTATTATTATTATTATAAATATAATAATAATAATAATTATTATAAATATAATAAATATAATAATAATAATAATATATTATTATTATTATTTATTATTTTTAATAATAATAATAATATATTATTATTATTATTTATTATTTTTAATAATAATAATAATATATTATTATTATTATTTATTATTTTTAATAATAATAATAATATATTATTATTATTATTTATTATTTTTAATAATAATAATAATATATTATTATTATTATTTATTATTTTTAATAATAATAATAATATATTATTATTATTATTTATTATTTTTAATAATAATAATAATATATTATTATTATTATTTATTATTTTTAATAATAATAATAATATATTATTATTATTATTTATTATTTTTAATAATAATAATAATATTATTTTTTTATTAATATTATTATTATTGATCTTCTTTCATGTGAACAACCAAACACAGTAATGTAATATTCCTGGGAATTTGAAAAAGATTCTTGTATGGAACCAAACATAATAATGTATTATTCCTAGGAATCATATTACTCTCGAACACTTTCCTGGAAATATGATTCCTACTGATTCCCGCATACCAAACGCCCCTATCTACAGCCTCACCTGAATAGAGTTGTAGACAGGCTGCACAGTGCTTTAAATCGAGGGGAGGGTTATTTACATAAACGTCTACTTAGAGCGCCCTGAATTTATATTTATTTATAAAACTATCCACTAACATACATATAAAAACGTTTATATACTTATATAATGAAAAAGGAAAAAAAAAGTGAAATGTCAAATTAAGAAAGTTTTCAAAATAAAATCATAATTTGATTTTGAATACAAAAGTCAAATGAAATGTGAATATTACATTAATGAAAGCTACCTAAATAAATAAAAGGAGAGTTTCTTAAACAATAAAAAAAATCCCATAATTAAAAAAAATGAAAAAAAAGGAGTTTCATGAAAAACCTAAAATCACCAAAAATAGGGACTACTCAATTTGTAAATATGGAAGAAACACGATAACGTATAAATAAATATGCATTTTCATTAGCATATTGATAATTCACTATGAAATAGAACATGTAAACCATAAAAACAAGAAAATGTAATCAAGAATAAGCATTTTTATTATTTTAACAGACATATCATTATAAAACTGACTAAATATAAAAGTTTGATACAATAATAATACATGAGACATGAACTCATAAAGAAAGATGTTTTATTATTGTAATGATGCTATCATTACAAACAAGAATGAATTTGATAGTTTGCACAAAAATAGCAATCATCTCCGGCGAGTTCTTAAAATATGAAAGATATAAATGTGGTAAATTAATTTTCATTATCAAAATAAATATCATAAGAAAATATAAAATAAACACGATAATGTACACATGAATGTGCATTTTCATTAGAATAATGATAATATCAATATGAAATAAAACTTATAATGCATAAGCAATACGAAAATGTATTCAACAACAAGCATTTCATTATTTTAACAGAGATATTATTATAAAACTAACTGAACATAAAAGGTTACAAGAAATTTAAAATAATTAAAATACAGACTTGTAAAGAAAGGTGTTTCATTACTATAATAATGATATCATTACAAACAGGAATAAATATGATAATTCACGACAAACCTACCATCAACTCCATTAAGTTTTTTAAAAATGACATATCAAAAAGGCAGGGTATAAAAAATAAGAACCAAAATAAACAAAAATTGTTTAACAAAATCATCAACAAAATTGAATATGCACCAAAAAAATAGAATCAATCTCTTGTGCTGATCTGTTGGTATTGAAGGAAAAAAAATAAAGGAAAGTCAAATTTCTAAAATAATCAGAAAAATATCCTAATATTATTATAGAAAACATGCTCAAAATAAATTATAAGGGCAAATCAGGTATAATATATTCTGTATTAAGTATAAGTGGATATTTCTGCAGTATTGTATAATTATAGACATTTTCATACAAAGCCTTTTACAGTAGACGTTTTATGTAAAATTTTCTAAAGCGCCATGAACAGATAATCTGAATGTCTGTATGCGCATGACCTCTTTTGCGAAAGGTAGGCTGCAATACAAGACTCGGTTGAAAGACGACCGAAGATGATTAATGGAAACCGAATTAGGCTAAATAAGCTAAATAAGCTTTTCATAGCAGATTTCTTTTTTCTATTACAAAATGCACCAAAATAGTCACTCTCTTGAATTCTAGACCGACTTTGACGAAAAGAGTGAAGTCTAGATAGACAATTTGGGTAAATAGTGGGATATCATCGACCCCTAAATGTACGTACGTATGTATGTATGTATGTATGTATTTATGTATGTACTTTAAATGTAATTTGCGACACCAATGCTGGAAGATTTAAGATTCTCGCAAGTGTATGGTTACATTTTTTGGTGAACCTTAATGCAAAAGATAGACACAATGCCACTAGACTTTAATCTGTTGCTTCTGGCATATTGGAATCATTGATTTGGACATTAAAATATAGTTTTGAGATACTAGTGTGCGGGAAATATAGGAGATAGTTGTGGTGATGATTTATGTGGAGCTGAATGTAGTCGGCTGCATCATGACTCTTATACTGAGTGATAAATTGAAAAAAAAAAAAAAAAAAACAGATTCTCATTTTTCTGAGGAAAAGGGATCTTTTTTTTTTTATATTTGAATAGTAATCTGATTTAAGGAATGAACCTTAATGCAAAAGATAGACACAATGCCACTTTAATTTTTAACAAATTGTTGTTTATTTATGTTTCAGTTATGCGGTTACATTGATAACCAAGTGCGGCTCAATCTACTGTCCCGTTGCTTAAACTGATCATAATTATATGATTAATAATTTATGTCCTGTGTATTTTTATTCTCTTAGTTGTCTCTGTTTGGAAAACCGAAAATGAAAGTTTAACTTGATTTAAGTTTCATTCTCTCATATTCGCAGGAGAGACTTGAATACATTGAGAGAGATCAATGTGAGTACACATTGGATGATGAGGATAGAAAGATTCAGGATGTAATTCTGCAACCCGAACCCTTGAAAAGTGGTGCTTCAGTGCTGAAGAAGACTCTCTCGTGCTCCTACCCAAACTTAACTTTTAAAGAAGCACTCAAAAAGGAAAATGAAAAGCTTCAACTAGAACTACGAAGGTCACAAGCTAATTACGATGTGAATCAATGCGAAGTTATTCAGCGTTTGATAGATGTCACGGAAACTGTCGCTGAGAATACTGTTCCAGACAAGAGTTCACCTGAAAAAAGTCACAAGAAAATGGAGCGGAACTATTCAGATGACAATAGTGAAAAAGAAGATTCATCCGATGAAAAATATAGTAAGAGAGGTGATAGTCGTGTAACTTCCAGGTAAGTATTTTGTATATTTTACTACACCATACAGCCATAATAGTGCAATTGCATATCTGAGTGTGGGTGTGTAATATCATATCAATATGCAGAAACACTTCTTCAGTTTCATCTGGGCATGATCTGCTGTCAACTAGATGGTCACATCGGCATGAAGAATGGAGTAATGATCTACTTGGATGTTGTTCAGAACCTTCTTTGTGTATGTTCCTTGCTTGCTTTTTATTAAATACTCAGAATCAACTCCAAATAAATGGCCAATTCCCTCTATTTGGTTCTTTAATATGTGGATGTCGATGTTATTTCTACATAGGCAGTTTTACTCTCTTCTCATCATCTTTTAGAAAGGTCTCTATTTTTGTCTCATATCAGGCCAGCAAACTCTCTTGTTCCGCTTAAACTCTGCTTCTGTCCTAAAGTTTGTCACATGCTTTGCAGGTATAAAGACATTCTTTTACCCTTGCGGTACTTTTTCAAAGATTGCTACGGTAGCAAAAAACAGGCACATGTGTAAGTGCTACTATCACTCTTGGTAAACACTACTCGAATCAGTTTTCTTTTAAGTTTTAGTTAACATGATGTTTGGTGCTCAATTCAATCTCAGTATGCCTGATGGCGATACTGTAACATTGTGATTCTGTACATGGCTCTAGTATTGTTGAAGCTTACATAGAAAACGTTTTCTTTCTTTGCTGATCAGCTCCGGCAGAAGCTTGTAACGAGTTGATGGCGTATTCATTAATTTTGTCTTGCTGTTGCTATACCTGTTGCATTAGAAGGAAGCTCCGCAAGACGTTGAATATCACGGTAGATTTCATCTCGCCCCCTGCATAGTTTAGGCATGAAGCGATTTTTTTATTTGCTTGTTAAGTTAGTATAAATTACACTACATTATCCGTAAATACTAGTGCTTCTTCATTTCTAGTCCCGATATGTTTGGAAGTTAAACCGAGCCTCATGGTCCATTCTCTTCTCTTTTGGCAGGGAGGTTTCATCGACGATTTCCTTTCACATTTCATGTGTTGCTGCTGTGCTCTTGTCCAAGAATGGCGGGAAGTTGAGATCCGCGGTGTTTACGGTATCTACTCATACTTTAACCTTAGATACAAATATGGTTTGCAGTTTCTAATACCAGTCGAGGTATCTGGTATAACTATATCCAATATGCAGGTCCTGAGAAGACAAAAACAAGCCCACCACCATCACAATACATGGAATCTTAAGTGAAGGATTTGAAGGCACTGTTCAAATATTGTGAGATACATATATATAGGTAATGGCCAGTTGCCACTGTTATTATGTGAAAAACTTGTAATCTGATTTCTACTTTCATCAATTCTCTCCCTCATGTGTAAACTAACTGAACATAAAAGGTTGCAAGAATTTTCTCAGCTGACATGCATTAACATCCATCTTACCACAAGGTTTAGTACGTGCAAAAAGAAACTCTGAAAATTATTTCTTAGTAACCAAGACAGCAAAAAAAATCGACCCAAACCAATCATTTTGAAATCATACCCAGATAACTTCGCAAAAATTTTAACCCAAATATCAACATGACAAAAATCACTCTTACGCATGAATATGCTCTCCACCCCCAACGAAAATTAGACAGTGTCCTTATTGTAAAAAATTATGGAAATATAGAGAAAGAAAACACCTGGACGATGAGCTTTCCACTTATGAGCACATCATGAGCTTCTTGATATGATTCTCTAAAAACACACATAAAAAATGTAAAAAGAAGCAAAGAAAAACATAAAATCAAAATATGGTACAGAAGATGTGAGCAAACTACTCAGGGCTGGTAAACGGGGTCGTTGAGAATGATCTCTTCAACCTGGTTCACCCCTAAGTAATTCTTCCTCAGGATCTGCTTGTCATGAGCTGCTTTCATTTTTACCTTGATCCTGGAATTACGCTCTTTCAGCATGTCAATCAATCGTTGTTCTTGCAATGCATCGAGTTTAGACGAGATGATGACTGGGAATGTGCCTTCATCTCCCAAGAACGCATGTTTTAAGCCCTCAGGTAGATGGACTAGCTTGATTTTTGGACCCTCATCGGTGGATGATTTCAGTTTTTCTCCTTCTGTTCGGAGCTCCTCAAAATATGGTGGCCCAAACTTAGTTCCTCTGTCCTGTGAGTTGCTGAAAATTGTAGACAAGTGAGCCAACTCAGCAGAACTGGAATCTTTAGAATCAGAATTTTGGAAGAGGTTTTGAAGATCTTCATAGTTGCTTTGCAGTTGAACCTCATTCTCGACAAGTGTGTCGATCATGAATGTTTGCTGACACTCGTCGTCCTCTCGTGGTTGCTTTTGAATATGAAAAATATTCACCTCAAGGGTCATATTCCCAAAAGATATCTTTATGAGACCATTCTTACAATTGATAAGTGCATTTGCTGTGGCAAGGAAATGTCTTCCTAGAATGATGGGAATGGATGACTCCATATTCACCACGGATTGTGTATCCAAGACAAGAAAGTCCACAGGGTAATAAAACTTGTCGTCTTGCACCAAAATGTCTTCCACTATTCCCCGTGGTCTCTTAATGGATCTATCGGCCAGTTGCAGAACCACAGATGTGGGCTTAATCTCTCCAAGACCCAATTGCAAGTAGACCGAATAAGGCATGAGGTTAACGCTCGATCCTAGGTCTAGTAACGCTTGGCCGAATTCTTGTGTCCCGATCTGACAAGAAATTATAGGACAACCTAGATCCTTATACTTCGGCGGTGTCTTTTGCTCAATCACCGCATTTACTTGTTCCGTCAAGAATGCAGTTTTCTTGACATGGTACTTCCTCTTTATGGTGCACAGATCCTTGATAACCTTGGCGTAGGCTGGCACTTGCTTGATCACATGTAGTAAGGGAAGATTGATCTTCAATTGTGTCAAGTTCTCTAGGATCTCACTTTGATTTTCCGGCACTTTCCCAAGAGGTCGAAGAGCTTGGGGGAAAGGCACCTTTACCAGAATTTTTGTTGGCTCTTCTTTCTCCTGAGCCGATTCTTCATTACTCGAAGTGGTTGTACTTGTGGATGGCGTGTAAAAATTCTTACAACTTCGAGTAGAGATGGCATTAACTTCCTTGATATTTTGACCTTCAGAATTGGAAGTTTGAGCCATGTGTTGTCCTCTCATATTGGACTGGGCTTGTGATGGAAATTTACTGCGCCCTTGAACGGTTAAAGCTCCTGTCAGTTTTGTGATCTGACTTTTTATTTCCTTGTTCTCTTCCACTAGCTGCGTGTGTTGAGAATGGTGTCCTAGAAGCATAAGATGTAATAGGATATTTATTATTTATTTAATAAAAGAGTTTATTCATCATTTTATGTGTATATATTTGTGAATATTTTATGAATATCAATGAAAATTCTATGATTATTTATGTAACCTTAAACATTGTATATAAGTGTTATATACGAGAGGATAATATTTAAGGATAATAATCAAAAAGTAATGTTCATAATGAATTTAATTAAAGTTCAGAATCTTTAATTAAAACATTATTAATACATGTCATTCCCATTAAGAATAGAACGGTGTTATCCGCACTGTTAATATGGTGAGATATTGAATGAGTGTATTTTGCATAATGAGATTATGTGGAACAAGGACACAGACACAATATGAATTTCTAATAATTCCGTTAAGTATAGAAATTCTAATTGAGTCTACCGATGGTCATATATAGGATAATCTTAATTCCAAGTTCTTAACAGACTCCTATTTATGGATTTGTGTCTTTTGATTTACTCGGTACGGATTTTGAGATCCTGAATCCTATTACTTGTATTTTAGAGACATGATGAAGTAGGTAGCCGGGAATGTTATTACACGAGATGGAATCCATTCATTCTTAAGAAAGAAGTAGATAAATAATTCTCTTGAGGGTTGATTCGGTACTTGGACCAGTAGGAGCTCCGATTCATGAATGTGTTTTATGAATCACTGTCCATTATAGAATCAA